GAATTCTAGAATTCTATGGGGAAAGGAAAACAAAACAAAATTAAAATAAAATTGCTAGCCTTTAAAGGTTCAGACCTTGTAATGGATACAAGCCTACACACACACACACACACACACAAACACACACACACAAACACATACACACATACAAACACACACACACACACACACACACAAATACACATACACACACACACACACACACACACCAGGGGTGGGTTCCAGCTTCTTCTACTGCCAGTTTGCTCAGAGACGTGCTTCGGGTGTGTGCGCACTTGATGCATGCTGTGCACACATACACAGTAGGTAAAAACTGCTTCTGCGCATGCACAGAAGCAAAAAACAAGATGGCCGTGCCTATGGGGCCACTGAGAGAACAGTTTGGGGGCATGGCTGGCCGAGTTACTACCTACTTGGCCAAACCGGGCCGAACCAGTAGAATCTCCCCCCTCTCTCTCACACACACACATGCACACACACATAGGTATGGAATGGATGTGCATAGAAGTCAGTATATCTGTCTTTGTTTTGTCATTTTTAAGGTTGGAGGAGAATTACGAGATTGCAGAAGGTGTCTGCATTCCTCGAAGTGCCCTCTACATGCACTATTTGGATTTCTGTGAGAAAAATGATACTCAGCCTGTCAATGCTGCTAGTTTTGGAAAGGTGAGTATAAAAAGCAACTAATTTCAGGGATTTGAAAGATAATAGCAATAGCACTTAGACATATACTGGTTTACAATGCTTTACAGCCCTCTCTAAATGGTTTACAGACTCAGCATATCTCCCCCCCAAATTTGGGTCCTCATTTTACCCACCTGGGAAGGATGGAAAGCTGAGTTAACCTTGAGCTGGTGAGATTTGAATCTGGCAAATTGAAAGCAGCCGGCAGAGCATAAGTAGCCTGCAGTACTGCACTCTAACCACTGTGTCACCATGGCTCATATGTATGTGATATAATAATGTATGTCATGTAATAACAATTTATTAAACTTGTATGCCCCCTAACTCCCAACAACTCTGGGCAGCTCCCAACTATTGAACGAAGAAACTACAATAGAGTCAATAAAAATTAAACACTGGCAAACAAGGTACAACAGATGAAATAAGGCAAGGTGTTTAACTCTCCCTCACCAAGGCTGGGGTGAAAAGGGGATTCAGGCTTTATCCTCAGTCCCCGGTGTGATGCACAGATAAGTTTTGATTTTTAATATCCCATTGACAGGGGCTCCAGACCTGTATTTCTTAAAAGGTAAAGCAAAGTATATTGTTTTTTCTAGTTTCAAGAGACAATAAGAGTAAACCAATAGGAATGTTTTTTTTGTCTTTGGAGTAGTTGAAGAAAAATTCTACTTGAGGAGTAATTGTCGTGCATTCTAAATGACATCAGGCACTCTGGTCCACTCTGAAAACTCAGAAAATGCCTTCTCCCCACCACATCCCCAGTGCCTGGGTGCCCCCATCTCTGTCTGCCCAAACTGAAAGAGAGATGGGTGGGATTAATGTGTAATTAAAGAGAATTTGGAAGCCTGAGATGTTGCGGAATGTTAGATCAGTAGCTGGAACAGCATGTGGTGTTCTTTAGGTAGGCTTCATTGAATCAACACAAAAAGAAAGAGCCAGAGAAAGAGGCTGCCCGCCTGTCTGCTCATTTATCAAATAGCTAGGCTGAACTTTCACAGCTCCACAAAAGTGTTTTTCTGTTTGCTGATCTCCCCCCCCACCCTTTAGTTCAGAATTAAATCGGTATGTTTTCCCCTCTTCGAAGGCTCATGAAGCAAAGCATTTTGGTTCCCCATTACTTAATCAGTCAATCAAACGATCAATCAATAAGCAAATGTGGTAAAAATGAAAGATAAATAATCATGGCACATTACGGTACTTACATGATACTTTGACTCAGATCCTTTTACAGACGTTTTTGATTTTGGCTTAGACTGTGTGGAAGATTCCATGTATAACAAGATGCAAAAAAGGGGAATGTTTATGGAATGGATGTAAATAATAATAATTTAATCAGATAAATCTTAGTGGGATTCTAGTTAAAGAGTTGTGCAGCGAAAATTAAAAATGAAACAGGTATATTCGAGTTCCATGATGGCGAACCTATGGCACGCGTGCCACGGGTGGCACACAGAGCCATTTGTTAGGGCACGCAAAGCGTTTCTGCCAGCTGGCTGGCCAGCTGACTTTGGCCTTCTTTTGAGGCCATTTTTCATCCTCCAAAGGCTTCCCTGAAGGCTCCGGAGGGCGAAAAACAACTCTATGGCCAAACCAGAAGGCTGTTCCCAAATTTCCGGTTTGCACATAGGGCCGGTTTTTCGCACTCCAGGGGGCCTCCAGTGGGGTGGAGAGGCTATTTTTGCCCTCCCTGAGCTTCTAGGAAGCCTCTGGAGCCTGGGGAGGGCGAAAAAAGCATGAAAAAAGTCGGAGGGGAGCGCTGGTCTTGTACGCAGAGGGGGGAAGCACCCACATGTGTGACACACCTGTGCATGATCCCCCTGTGCTCCCCCCGCTTTTGGCACACAAGCCAAAAAAGGTTCGCCATTACTGTTCTAGTTATAAGATCAGTTTTCCAGTTTGAAATAGAAAACCCTCTTATTTCAAACTTGGCCTATCTAAAATAGCTCTCTTTTTTAATCAATAAATAGTACATTCTGCAAATAATCTTCCACTCCAGTTGTTTTTTTAATAGATGATTATTGTAAGGATAGGTAAGGAAAATTCAAAATATATAAACTATCACAGCTATAGACAATAGTACAACCATATATATAATAATAATAGCAATTTTATCCATTCTTTCCAAGTGTGCATATATAATTTGTGCTCTGTAATATGTTCCAGTGATATAAAATACGTGATTTTAAAACAGCTCTTTATAAATGAATTGTTTTAATTTTTTTCTTACTTTCTCTTCAAATAAGAGAAAACTGTCTTAAGAAAGTTAAAAACATTCTTAAAGATCCATCTCATCCTGGGCACCTTTTTTTTTAACTATTACCATTTAGCAGACGGTACAGGATAATAAAAACAGGGACAAATAGGCTGAAAAACAGCTTCTATCCCAGGGCAGTAACTATATTGAATTCTATGGTATAGTGCAATAAGCAATGTCGGGTTTTCAATTTCAATTATATAGAATATGAAAGATGTGTGTTTGTGTTTTATTTTTATAATTGTAATGTACACTGAAGATAGCATTTAATTTCGTTGTACGATGTGCAATGACAATAAATAAACTTAATTAAATAAGCATGACTAAATATACATGACTGGAATAGGATCTTATGTTTCTTAACATGAAATTATTATTAAATTATAATTTACAGATAATAAGACAACAGTTTCCACAGTTAACGACACGAAGATTAGGAACCAGAGGCCAATCAAAGTAAGCAATAATGAGTGTTTCATTATCATAGAAAGGTTAAGTGTGTTACAGAAGTATGATTGCAGAATATTTTTATGCAATATGTCTATGGCAAATACTTATGTGTGGCGAGGAGAAAGCCCATCAATAAGAAAAGCAAAAACTCTGACATAGCATGGTCAGTTGTAATGGAGGACTAGGCTTCTATACCGCTAATAATTGCATAGAAGAGGTTGCTTCGACTAGGGACAACATCTTCTTTTCCACACAGCTATTCAAGGTACAGAAGTACTGCTTCCTGATGAATCCAGGTCACTTTGGACCACAATTTGTATGCCGCTGCTTTACCGTTCTCCAGAGCTTAAGAAAAGTGGCAGTCGCCATTCCACATACCAAGAGTAGTGGCCATGTTACCAATCGGTGCACAAGCTGGAATTATATTGTCTGCTTGGTCCCATGCCCCATCTTTGCTTATCTGCTCTTCATCTCTCCTGGAATTCTGATAGTTATGGCCTGCAGGAGACATGATGGTCATATTTCACACTGGAGGAGTAACAGACTGGATAATGTGTGGTTCCCAATTAAAAAAAAAACATAAGACCAAATGCATCTTTTCTAAATACAAATATACTGATGAATTATAAAATACGGGTAATTATTATAAATGCTTATCAAAATTTGACAGGTAAGATTTGCTGCTTCCCTTAGCCAGGTGAGATATGTTTTGGTTGTTTGCCCTTTGCTATGCCTTCCTGTTAGACTGGTGTGATGCAGTATTTTTTATTCTCCAATGATGGTGTTTGGGCTCAGTGTAGAAGTGTGATGCCATCGTGCCAATTTATCTTTTCTGTAATGTATTCTTGCGCCATGACATATAAAGGCTCCATGTTCCTAACCTTTTATCCCCAGACCATTTTAGTGCATCAGAGCGGTTTTATAGAGTATGGAAATATACACTTGCCGTTATAGATGTTCTGTGCAATAGAATAGCATCCAATCACAGCTTTTCTAAGGAAGGTAATACCTTTTAAGTAGAGTTCAGCAGGGCTTGAATGAAGGGGTGTAGGAAGAATGAATGCGAGAACACAGTGCCTTTTATGGGGGCACTGGACAATCACTATTTCAGCACTGCTGGCTAAATAGATAGCAGCATTTCTTGTGGATGCTGATGTCATAGACCAGTTCAGCCAGTAATTTTTATTTAGCAGTCATACACCTGCCGATGCTGAGGGACCAATACCACAGCTTCTTTTATCTTTTCCCAATGCTTCTCGTAAGCTATTGAATCACTAGCCCTCAGGCACATACGTGTTTATATTGGAGGCTACATTTTAAAAGAAAAAGAAGGAGGCAAACGGTGGTGTGACAGAAATAAGATGACATCACAGAAGGATTGAAACTAAATCTTCAACCCTTTGACAGATTTGAGGAGATTATGTAAAACATACTAGAAAAAAAATACTTGAGGCTTAATATACTTATTTTATGGATTACTTTGTTTTTAAAAAATGTGTTATGAAAGTCTGTTAGCATACCAACAAGTATTGACAGCATGAATCTAGTGGCACAGCAAAAATATGTCTGAGAGGCCATAAATTACCTTTAGGTTTCAATTTATCCAACCCTCCTAACATCACAATACTTAGTAATACAAACAACTAAAAGCTCTGCCAGCAAACCTCTAAAGGAAGTTGCAAATTTCTAAAGCAGGGGTCCTCAAACTTGGCAACTTTAAGACTTGTGGACTTCAACTCTCAGAATTCTGGAAGTTGAAGTCCACGAGTCTTAAAGTTGCCAAGTTTGAAGGCCTCTGTTCTAAAGGAAGCTGCCATCTACAGTTAAAGCATATAGTAAAAATTGCAACTCTATGACTATTCTTAAAAAGGGCATGTATTAGAGAGCTTAAGAAAAATATTAATTGCCATATAACAAATTTATTATCACAGTAGAGAAGAAGGTGTTTGCTTCTACCAAATATCTGGCTTAGGGCTGAGGCAAAAGCACCAGGCTCTGCCAATTTGTATCTTTCCTGGGTGCTCCTGTGGATGGAAAATGCAGCTTGTTAAGCAACTTGAATCCTCACGCTTATGTTCTGATGGTGAATTTGCACTCAGGCATTAACTTGCAAATTGGCATGAAGTCTGTTTTGTTAGCAATTTTCCTTTTTAACCATACTTGAGTGAACAAGTTCTCTCTCTTTAAAAAAAAGTGTGTATTCAACATTTCAGGTACCATTACTATGGCATTGCAGTGAAAGAAAGCTCCCAGTATTATGACGTGATGTATTCTAAGAAAGGAGCAGCCTGGGTCAATGAAACAGGAAAAAAAGAAGTAATCAAACAGACAGTGGCATATTCACCACGATCCAAACTTGGGACGTTGCTGCCAGAATTTCCAAATGTCAAAGAACTAAATCTGCCAGCCAGCCTGCCAGAAGAGAAGGTGACGCTAGTAAAATATTCATTGGCTTGCTTTGGTCTCTGCTTTTTCTCAGTTGAGGAAAGGCTAACTTAAGTATGAAAAAGTGCCTCTTCAAAAGATTGCGTTTAAGAAGACTGTGACTTGATTTATGAAGGACTTGATTGCTCACTGTACTTGAAACAAATAATTTATGGCATTTATCCAGTCATCTATAGATGAAAGAGGCTTGTATTGGTTCATAGTAGACAATACATTAAAGATCCATGATTGAATTTTCCAATATTTCTTTAGTAAAAAAAACAAACCCAGCAATTTAGGGAAAGTAGATTAGTGCAAAAAGGCAGAGGACCAATTCTTTTTCCTGGCATCATATCCCTAACTTAATTACAACCCAAAGCTGCAACTAGGTATTCTGAGGAAGAAATCACATGCAGTTAATATGTGGTGGTAGTAGTACATTAATTTAATTTGGGCAAATGGCTCATGCCCAGCCCCAAATACTTTCGTCCTCCCTTAAATGCTTTTAACTGAGAAACATTTAAAACAGAGAAATTGGATGGACAAAGAGAGAAATTGGATGGACAATTTGACAATTTCTCAAGAATAGGACTTGAGGGGGAATTCAGAATTTTGAAGGAGTAACTTTCTAGTCCAGAATGCTTCTGCTGGAATAATGTACATTTGGTGATAAGCAGACTTTCTGAAATATAACGCTCTGACTCAAAGACGACACCCTTTTAGCAGCTTGATCTGGAAACCAAGATATGTGGGTATTAGGTTAGGCTCTATCTGGATTAAGGTTTATAGTTACAGCTTGTGAGACCTGAGCTTGATACTAGTATTTTTGCTGCCTTAAGGATTAAACCTTCTTCACGTCGTCTCCGCTGCTAGGAATTTGTTAGGAACTGGAGATCATGATAGATTATACTAGAAATGTTACTGTTTTAAATTATGACATCCTTAATAAGAATTGCTCTTTTTTATTTTTCTAGGTATCTACTTTTATAATGATGTACAGAACACATTGTCAAAGGATACTTGATACTGTAATAAGAGCCAACTTTGATGAGGTTTGTAATGAAGTAAAAAGTTTTTCCTAGGATAGTTTTCATTCAGTTATACTTATCGATGGTAATGAAAATGTTTATATTGACTGACTACATTGTTCTGAAGGTTCAAAATGTTTCCCACTGAAAACTGGAACTGTTGGAACTAATAGAATGTGTTAGTTCTGTTGGATAAAAAGATTCTGAGAATAAAGGAAGCTAAGGAACAGGATGCTTCAAGGCAAAGAAGCTGAAGAAATGGTGCAATCAGGCAATGTACTGAAAAATAAATTAGGAAGGACAGCAGTACAAAAAAGAGGCTTATATAAAAGGATGGAGGAGATGAGCAATTGAGATCAGAACAGAGGTCGGTTGCTGCTGGTTTGGCCTGTATCGGCCGAACCAGCAGCAGAGGCGGCAGGAGGCTCCGCCCACCCACCTGGAGGATTCTGCGTATGCACAGAAACGTCACGCACAAACGCACCTGAACCGGTAGTAAAAAAATTAGCAACCCACCTCTGGATCATAAGTATTAATGAGATAGAAGACTGTAAAAAAAAACCTCTATACTACTTAAAATTATATAGATAAGAGCAGGGAGGCAAGGAATGTTACAGATCCCATCCCGTAAGGAGATATATCTGGTGATATCCAGAAGAAGGACCTTCTCTGTGGTGGCTCCCTCTCTGTGGGACATCATTCCCTTGGAGATTAGACTGGTTGCCACTCTAACTCTTTAGGAAGGCCCCTGAAGTTGTGGTTATTCCATCAGGCCTGGGTAAACCAGAGCAGGATTGAGCCCATTAAATGGCTAATATGAACATGTGTTGTCCCTGGCATGGGAAGGGGGGGGGTATTCTTTTATTCTTTTCCTTTTTTATCCTTTTTCTTTTTCTTTCTTTTATATTGTGTTTTCATGATCTTGTAACCTTGAGTCATCATATGCGAGTAGGCAGCAATATAAAATTTCTAAATCAATAAAATAAATAAAAATAGATAATATAAATGGAAAACAGAATAAATAAGCTCTTCCCTGTAGTGGGCTTATCCAGACTCTAGTATACCCTCAGTCATGGAAGCTTACTGAAAGACTTTGGGACAGTTATTCTTTCTCAGTTCATGGGCTCCCACAGAGCTGTGGAAAATAAGAAGACATGCTTTGTACATTACACTGAGCTCCTGAATTAAAGAGAGGATGGAAATTTATTAAGTATATACATCAGAGGTGGTATTTAACAGTTCTGACCAGTTCTGGCAAACTGGGAAATTTATAGTAGTTCAGAGAACTGGCAAATACTACCTCTGGCTGGCTCTGCCCCACATCTATTTTCTGCCTCCCGAGTCCCAGCTGATTGGTGTCCCAGCTGATCAGATGGGTCTTCTTCTGTTGCCCTGCACAGGAGAATGGAGCTGGAAAGCAGATTAGTGGGGTGGCGAGGGAATGGGGATTTTACAGTATCCTTCCCTGCCACGCCCACCAAGCAACGCCACGCCCACAGAACTGGTAGTAAAAAAAAAATTGAATCCCACCACTGATATACATATAGTATTTCATATCTATTATATACACATGTCTATAGTTATATAGCAATAGCAATAGCAGTTAGACTTATATACCGCTTCATAGGGCTTTCAGCCCTCTCTAAGCGG